TCATTTGTACATAGGATTTTTCGAAGTGACGTATTTGTTGGGCATGTGAATAGGTGGAGAAGAATGAACATCTCTATTCTCCCACTCTCCCACTGGGAAGGATTAAGGAAAAAATAAAGTCTCGGGAGAAGGAATGGGCATGCTGCTGCCTTCACCTTTCCCTTCATCACTCTGTGGGGCAGGAGGCACTTTGCGTACGTTTTGAAGACCCTCCGTTTAAGTGCAGCTGTCTTGCAGAGAGATGATGGACATAACAGGTTAAGAGTATTACCATGTGAGAAAAGTTCATGGTAACAAAAACCCAAGCATGAACTCTTCGCTGGTGTCATGATGGACACGGTAATTGAAGGTACATGTGTTGCATGTGCTATAGATAGGACAAGATACGTGCAACAGAAAAAACACTCACTGCCAAAGCAGACTTATTCCTCTTTAATCCCTTAACTTTTCTGCAGCAATGTTTTAAAAGGGAAGGGTATTTTTAAAAATTACAGTTCCGCAAGTTCATCTATTTCACCTAACATTTTGAATTTATGCTTACATATTATAATGCGTTTAGTTTTGTTTGTACATATTTAAAAAACAAAATTATAATGATTAAATGTTGAGTAAAGAAGACGTAAAGCTACAATTGTAGTATCAACTGTAGATTAAAATAGACTTTCAAGGCCATTTCAGTGCACAATTGATGTAACCTCCTTTCTGTTGCAGATCAAGAATAAACTGAATATAACAACTGTGGGATTATATTTTTTAAGGTGGATGGTCTGCAAAGTCTGTAGTTTTAAACGTTTTGGATTTGTCCTCTTTTTAATGGTCACAAATATGCTGTCAGTATCAGAACACAGATCAGAAGTTCCCATTTAAAAATTCAAGGTATTTTAGCCTTTATTAGGAAGGAAACAATGTTTTCTTTCTGAAATTAACATTAATTTGGCTGTCAACATTAAATGCTTGAATTTTATGTCTAAGTAAATGATTCCACAGATTCAGAGTTAATCGGCTGTATTTTCTTTAAATATAAAACGTTGATTTTCTACAAGCCCCGCCAATAGCTGTAACTGTAAATTATTCAAAAAATAAGGTTTACAGATCGGAATGGACCTGACATTTTTTTAATATTGGATTTCTCAAGATTTAAAATTATATTATTCAAAATCACTAGCTGCCACACTACCCAAGTATTTATTTAAATACACAGGCAAAAAATATCATCTAATTGCACTGTACTGGAATCACAAAGATAGTTATGGTGTCTAATCTTTAAAATAATAGCGAACTTTTCCTAAACAAAAAGTTTAGGAAAAATGATTTAGGAAAAATGATTCCTACTAAAAAAAAAAAAAAGCCTACTTTTAATTCAGGAGAGAAAGATGCATGCAAAAACGCATCTTAGCAGCCTATTGTTCCACTATAAAATACACACACAATACGCCTTTGCCTTTGAAATGTATTTTAAGTATATATTTACAAGTACTTTTAAATATGTTATTATTTTAAGCTAACACAACAGAAATCCAAACGCTGTGGTACCTACGTAACCCTTAGTGCCTGTCCTAACAAAAAGCTACGGTCCACCCACCTGCAGTTGCAGAGCGGGGCTTTGAAGTTGACACTGCAGGTGGAAAGTCCCCATAAAAGCGCAGGCGGTTTGCACATAACTCATGCAACCCTCCTGCAATCTGCTGAGAATGGAAGTGGACTTCAGACTCATTCATAAGTAAATTTTACCATGTTAATTTGCAAATCTCTGCTGTGCCTATAAAAAGCAGTTATTAGTTAGCCTTATCAACTTCAAAGTCTCGTGACAGTTTGTGGCTACAGCCACACAGCCACACTTCATGAGCAAGCAACCAGAGCAATTTCCTCAGGCTGCTTTGCATCTTCTGCTTCCCTGTTCATTTAATTTCTCTGTAAATGAAGACAAAACAGAGATTTGTCCCTGTTAAAGGACAGCAGAGTTTGAATATTTTAAGATCTAACTGCCTCAAACATGGATCCTCTGCCACTCACTTACACTGCTCCCTCACGAAATATTCTAGAAATAAGCTTATTTCGATAGTCAACTTTAGCACGTGGTAGGATCTCTCAAATCTGACTGTATGCTATCGCTGGGGTTAATTATCAGAGAAGTGTGAAAGGGGAGAGGGATCTTCTAAAGGTCTAGTCTCTTTCTTCAAAGCTTTAATTTTAACCGTGCCAGTTTGAAGTTTACACGGAATCTAAATACATCTGAAAGACTTTATTCTAGAATAATTGGGATGTAATTTCAATCAGGGACTAAAAATTTAATAACTACTTTACAAAGGTAAAAGCAAAGCAGTGAAGTCATTAGTGTTCTAGGCAGGCTTCCTAGGCAAGCATTAAGTTAAAAATCTTTTGAGAACCGCAGAACAGAAAGAAAAGGAAGAAAAGATTAAGTAGCAGCTTGTTCTGAGAAAGAGGAGCTGATGCATCAGGGGACACTGGCAAAGTTTGTGTGCTACTATCTCAAATTCTCTGGAAGAGGAGCAGGGCATGTGATTACTGGATTACTTGTGTTAAACTGGAAACCTCATCTTATTTTTCAATCTTCAGATTTCACAGTATTGATCTCATTAAGCTAGCGTTTTCACGTTGTAACTGCAGTAAGGGTAGTTGCAGTGCAAAAGCTGTGGAGTAATGTTGCAAAGAATGATGGTTATTTAATAATTGCCTTGGAACTACGTTTACTTGCAGGTCTAAACTGAATTGAGTGGTCAAATGCAGTGGTAAGAACACTGCTAGCTGAGGTGATAAAAACATGTCATTAGTCCTTAAAAGTAAACACTGTAAGATCTTAAGTACCAATGTAGAAACTATTGCTGCTTATTTCTAAAGGTATGGAAGAAAAGTGTTCCCTGTGAGCAAATGTTCCAACAGATTCTTTTTCTAGTTAGTTTAAAAAACAAAAAAGAAAAGAAAACAAATTAATCTGATAGGCCTTCAGGTGAGATTTTTCTATGCAACTGCTGCCATCAAAATACAGCTGATGTGATACTTTTAGACATCGGATCAAGGACATGTGCCAAGTACCAACCAACAGTTTGTCTTAGACAACAAAAAATTATGATCACCAATGCAGTTATAAATAAATGAAATACAAGAAATTTTAATATTTCATAAGAAATTTGCAACGTTCTTCTATGCTTGCAAGATAGCACAGATTGAGCAATTTTGAGCAAAGATTAAACAAGGCAAGAGACAGCTTTTCTACTTAATGACAGGATCTGAGAAAGAAAACTACAAAAGCAAACTTCCAAATTACTATAAATGCCAGACAAAAATAGAAAGCAAAGTGTCAAATGATCTTTGGCATTTGTTCAGAAAAAAAAAAGAACAAAAATTAAAAACTTTCTCCGAGCATAGATATTCTGAACCAATGTCACGCATGCGATCACAACTTCATTTTAATCTGTTGAAAAAGGCTAAGAGTGCAAGATAGGGAAAGTTCAAAAATACTCTCTGCTATGATAACTTACAGTTGATTAATTGAAAGGGGAGGACTGAAATTTCAGCTTTCCAGTAACAGTTTGATGTCAATTTAAGCAAGATTGTGCCTCTATATTTGTCTCTGACTACCTTAATCTGTATATTTGCAATGAACATAAGGAGGACTTTGATCAAAACACAACATGCATTTTACACAACAAGGAAGTCTACAGAGAGGCACTACATTTACAAAACCAATTGAAGGTGGTTTCAAAGGGAGTTGACAGATTAGAGGATGATGACACTACTGCTGCAGTCTCAATGGAAATCTGTCTTGATCTAATTAACAACAACGAACTAGAACCACAAAAAGATATTTCAAACATGATTTAAAGAAGTTATATTACCTTTTTACTTGCATAGCGATGGAGCCTTTCCCTTACTGGTCACAGAAAAAGTCACAGGTTGAACACAGAACAAGAATAAAAGGCCTGACATCTTTAATTTACCTCCAGCATTTGAAATTGAAGTCTAAAATCTAGCCCAAATATTTGACTACAGAAGTAGAGAACATCCATGTATTCACATGAATATGATAAAAAATTTTAAGAGTCACACTCATAACAACTCGAGTGAATTGGGAAATCAAAATGGAAGATTTTTTTTAAGACCTGACTACATGTTACTGAGTGCTACCATGTTGAAACAGAACACAGCAAATGGAGCACAGCATGCAGGACAACTTGCATGTTTAATTGGACACGTCTGTGTGCATGCACCACAAAGCTCCCATATTCCCATTCCCTTTTTCTTCCGATTCCTCACCCTACGAAAATTGCACTGGGAAGAAAGCTTGCCATCAATCCTGAACTTATTCAGGCTTGTAGTTTAAGCCAGTAAGAATGCCAGTGACTGCTTTGTGGCTGACATTTCCACAGCTGTCAGTACTAGGTGACTGCTGCCCGTATGCAGCCTCTAGCACAGGGATCTCTGTGAATCTTCGTTCTGATGCTCTGATTGTCTTCTCTGAATGACCATCGCTGTCACTATACGACATGATGTAACTTGTGCTTATATGCATATATGCTTCTGTACGCGTATGTATAATGACGTATAATCATCCTGGCATTTTCCATTGGATGCATTTTACAGGTGGGAACTACAGCAATGGTTGACTGCATTCATAGGAAACGTGTAACTTTGCCAGGGAATGCAGAAGTTACTGAAAAATGCAGCAGCCATTTGGACACATGCTGTCTGACCCCCTAACAGACAAGGACACAGGGAATCTCCAAATAAGTGAATTGTTCCATTCTCCTTGCAGTTTTCTTCCTGCTTTTTAACTTCTGCTCATGGAATTTTAAAAAACCCAACTCTCCAATAGCAATTGGTTGTTTTTATTTCCTTCTAATATTACTAGATAGGAATAATACTACCTCAATAGCAAACTGGCAACTACAACTCAGCATTTCCTACAGTATATACCTCTTACTGTATTAACTCAGAATTTTTCCTCTTTAGTCCTCAAAATGATATATATTTTTTTTTACCTTTGCGTCATAATTTTGTAGGCGTCTGGAAGGAAGCATTCTGTGTTCTCCATCTGAAAAGGGTCAGCATCACAAATCTTGTCATCTGTCCGTCCATAGTTAGCGCTTTCTATCATAATAACATCGCTTCCTGGGCACCGGAGGTCAATGGAGTAGCCTTCGCAGGAGAGCTCCCTCCTAACCAAACCAAATGGTAGTGCTGCTCGGCTGAAACCTTAAAAAAAAAAAAAGAGAGAGAGAGGAAAAAAAATGGGATTTAGCCTAAAGGATATATTGCATTTCAGTATTCCTCTTCTGTTACATGGGCACTAACTCTCGTTGGTGTGCTAAAGGAAGCGCACCTTTAAACAGTTTGACCTGGTTACCACGTTAAGAGCAGCATCTTTCATGAAACTGTCACATCCCTACACCACTGCTGCTCTGTCCTTCACCTGGGAAAGGAGGAAATTCCTCGTCACTACTTCTAACCCCTGCCAGGGCAGACAGCAGCACCCGTCTGCACGGCTGCATTGCGCGTTCCCCTTCCCACCTCTCTCCTCGCTCCTGCTTTCTCTCCTCTTTGGGCACAGCCAGACAAGCCGTGTCTGAAAGCAGGAAGCAGCGGAGCAGGCAGGATTTGCAAATGCATAAGTGATTTTAAAAAAACAACAATAATAAACCAAAGCCATAGTTCCAACTTCATTAGTCTGTCTTAATTTGTATCTTCCTTTCTCCAGGAAGAGTTGGTTTCTTTTGCTTAGCTATTTTATGTTCCCAGCAGGCACATGTTTGTGCTACCAGATCCAATACACATGCCGATATTTTACTTAGTTGTACTTTAGTCCTCCTTACTGTGCCTTTTACAAAAATTAAACCACAAACAGATGAGATTTTCAACAAATACACAGATGATCAGTACAGCAAACTGCAGGTGTGTACTGCATAAAATCTCCCTGTCCCTCCCAAAAATTACATGTGTGTTTCAGGGAATACTCACTTTTACCACATTTTTTCTGCATGAAAGAATTCCTAAAGATAGGTAACTTCTTTAAGAGTAATGAAGCAGTATCATATGCTTTAGAAACAAAACAATGGTCCAGATATCCATCCAGACATTTTGTCTTTTACAGACATTTCTTTATGCAAAAAATATATTGTGACAAAAAACAACTGCAGCTGTACACTACACTTCCTTGTACACAGCTGCTAGTGTATTATTAAACAGAGTATTTCTGTTTCTTACAAAATACGTGCATTACTGTCCTTTTGAAGACAAATTGGGTATCATGATAGCATTAAATAGCTATTTCTTTAAAGTAGCAAATTCTAAATTTTCAACAGGATCGCAGATACTTCTTATTTTTGAAAAAGTCATCCTAATGCAATAGCAAAAGGCCATTAATATTTCAGTCCAGACTGCTGGAAACAAGTTGTAACGGCAAAGAGAAATAGCTAGTAAGTATGAAAGGCTGGAGCTCTACGGTGTTTTGAAGGCAAAGAAAATAAACTTTTCTTAAAAAGTATGATGCGTTAGATGAGGCAAGGAAGCAAGGATCTACAGAGATCAAGAACAACTTGAGATAACCCCTTGATAGTAAATTTTCACACAAAACAGAGGCTGTCACTTTTTCCACCGAATTAATGATCTGTGGATTAAAACTCCTAGTGTATGAAGATGATTCTCTTTTGGGACTGCAAAAAAAGAGCTGTTGATAATGAGCATGCCAGTGTCAGGATGCGGCTCCCTGGCAGCCAGAGCCCATCTTCTCCTCCGCTCCTCCTCTACTTGCATGTCCCTGCCCTCCCCTTTGCACCAGCTTTTGTCCGACTGCTGCAGTAAACTAATGCGAGGGGCCGGTCGGACTCCAGCCTCTCTCCACTGCAGAGTAACTGACGAGGCCTCGGAGGACCAGCTCCTTGCCTGGGTGGGAATTCACCCCGGCACGTGGGGAAGGGGAAGTCCAGAGCGCAGCAACCAGGTTTGCCTTTACGTTACACATCCTACGTGAAACAGGTACCATTACTCTGCCAGTACGTTTCAGTATTTGTTAATAAGGGAAGAAGCCATACTGCCGTAGGAAGCACCGCAGTTCCATCTCAGATTCGCTCCGGCCATCGGTTTGGCTGCACAAACCATGCGCGATAGCAAACACTGCTATCAGAGGCTTGCTGAAGTACCATGAGCTGAAAGCTGGGAAGAGCTAGAACACGAATCCATCACCTTCACACCCTACATGTTCCTCCCGTGCAGCAAATTAACACAACGAAGGCAGAAGCTGCTCACGGCTCAGTGAGGGCATGAAATGGGCACACAGAGGGGTACGCGCAAAGCCCCCACCACACATGCATACAGCAGCTCCTTTGATTAATTACCACCATGACAGCTGTGGTGGGACCAAATATAATGCTGCTAGCGAATGCCGTTCCTACATCCTACCACTCCTGTCAAATTTAATGCCGTCCACATAAAGCTCATCCCTCCAGCCGGCGGCAACGCTGCCCGTATCTCCTGCACTCAGCAGGGCTT